CCAATAACGTTAATTAAGTAACACTTCTATTTTTAACGTTATTGGAGGGATTTATTGATTAGCCAGTTGTTAACTTGAATCCTTATGTAAAATCTATTTCTTTAGATAAAAATATAAACATAATTTTACTTCATGTATACGTTATTTTTATGGTTAATGATATTAATTGAGTAACACTTCTACCCTTTAATATCATGTAAATCATAAAAATTAATAGAATAATTATTTTCATGGTTAATGATATTAATTGAGTAGCACTTCTACCCTTTAATATCATGTAAATCATAAAAGTTAATAGAATAATTATTTGTTGTCCTAAACATTAAGCATAATTTAATATCAACAAATAAAAATCAATAACATTGATTGAATAGAAATTCTATCTTTCATGTTATTGGGAGAGTTTATTGATTAGTCATTTGCTAACCCAAATCCTTATAAATTTTTAAAATAAAAAATATTACAAAAGAAACATCTCTCATATTTTAAAAAAATATATATGTATACACATTTTCAAGGAATAAAATAAATTTATGAATTTATATAATTTTACGCAATTAATTAAAGGTACTATTTTTACAGGCGTCGTAGGGCGCTAATACCTTCCTTACACGTAATTGACTTCCGAACCCAACTCTGATTTTAAAGATTATCTTTTAAAGGATTTTCCAATGTTTTTCCCTTAAAATAAAATATTGGTGGCAGCTCCATTGAAAAACAATGTCTGTGTCATCCCGTTGTGATCCTGGTTACGACAGATGGCGACTCCACTGGAGAAATTTAAGAGTCAGACCTTATTAAATTAATTGAGCAAAATTATGACTTTATAAATATTAATTTTTCCCTTTTTTATTTTATTTTTGTTTTATTTATTTATTTATTTTTGATACGCATGTTTTGTTTGGATTTAAAGCTTAAATTAGAGTTTATTCATTTTATTTTCATGTTTGTTTGTTACCCCACACACTCACTAACACTTGTACCTCACACACTCTGGGCTCTATACTCGAGCATGTGCGAGCCTAAGAAGAGAAAGTGGCTTGATGACTATTACTAGTAGCATAGGTTAATCATATTGAGAGGGTATGTTCCCTACTTGTGATTGATTCATGCGCTAGGTCCTTATTCATATGATAAGGGCAACCTGGGGACCAATAAATCTTGAGGAGTTTTTAGATCCACCCACAAAACTATGCACTAATAACTGGACTAAATGACCTTCCAAAGTAGGGTGTTAACCTTAGAAATTTCCTACTCTAGGTTTACCGTAATAAGTCACATTGTACTACCATTTTATCCCTCCTTTTATACATGTTCGTGCTAAAAAAAAAAAGAGCATGTTAATACATTCATGCATCATACATTTATATCCAATATCATTTTAGTATCTAGATTATTTTTCTTGCCCAAAATAAATTTTAATAAACAAATAAAAGGTAAATGATGGAAAGTCATGCATACATGCATATTAGAAACATATTAGGTTGCATTCTTTTCTTTTTTTCTTTTCTTCTTTTTTCCCTTTTTTCTTTTTCACTTAATTAAGCCATTGGCTCATTTTTATTTTTTTTTTCTTTTTAACACTAGAAAAATTGATAGTATTCAATATGGAGGAGATTCAAAATCATGCTAGCAATACATTAGGGTTAAGCAAGAGTATCAGGATAAATGTGCTAAAAAATGATCTCCAAAGGGTAGGTAAGATTTTCCAGAAAATGACTAAGGAGGTTCGTTCAAACTTTCAAAAGAAATATGGACAGATTCTAGATTTGCTATTGATCTCAATAGAAACTATGCTAAGTGCATTAGCCCAATATTGGAATTCAGATTTTAGATGCTTTGAGTTGCCTCATATGGATTTGGTTCCCACAATTGAAGAATATGAGATGATACTAAGGTTACCCCTCAAAGAAGAAACTGATATTTATCTATATAAAGGGAACTGTGTATCATGAGGGAAAATTGCTGGTTTAATTGGCTTGTTATCACAACAAACCGAATTGGTGAGCAAAGGCGCGACTCAAGGATGGAATAAAGATCTTCTGGAGGATCATATGAAATCTCTAGCCGAGAAAGGTGATTGGGAACATTTCAACAAGACTCTAGCTCTACTTATTTATGGGTTAATTTTTTTCCCATTCACAATGGGCTTAATCGATCAAGCAGCTATGGATGTGTTCTTCTCTTACGAAACGCAAAAAAAGAATCTCGTTCCAGCCATTCTTACAGATAGTCTCCTCTCTCTAGAAGTATGTCATCAAAAGAAAAGAGGAATGCTATGATGTTGTAATCATTTACTATATGTTTGGATCATGACTCATTTATATGCTTCCAATCATATGGGATATATGCCAGACCCTCTAAAAAGTTTCCATCGTATTCCAGTGAAGAAATTAGAAGCAGCAGAGTGGAAAAAAGATCTTTTGACATTCGAAGTAGAGCACTTTACATGGGTATGCCCTTGGTACCATCCCAAAAATACAATCTTTAGTTGTGGGAGTTTCTTGAATGTTCCATTAATGGGGTCCGGAGGATGTGTAGCATACACCCTAACAATCGCTCGTAGACAACTCAAAAATGGACTCAATTTGTGCCTTAGAGCGAAGAGTTAGGAGGTTTGAGCTTTCAATATGCTTTAGATAATGTGAGGCAACAGGCAAAAGTTAGAGCTGCTTGGGAGAAGGTTAAAAAGAAAGGGGAAGCAGAGCTCGGAAAACCTCATGTGACAGCCTCTTCAGAATGGAGAAAGGCTAGAAGAATTTCCATCCCAATTCTCAAAGAAGTCCAACATGAAGAGAGTCAATCTCATGAAACCAACCAAGCATTGGCTTCTTTAACCTCTCAATTAGAAGTCATTAAAGCATAAATGAGATTGATGGAAGAAAAAGAAGAACGTGCTCAAACTGAAATATAGATTCTTAAGAGGCAATGTCAAAGGAAGGACATGGAAATTGAACATTTAAAAAATGAATGTGCTGATGCTTATGAAAGTTCAACTCATGTGAAAAAAGTAAAGAGAATGGCAGAAAAAGAGACAGAAATCCTTTTGAAAAATATGGGAAAAAAGATTGAAGCAATGAAAAACGAGATGGCAAAAATCCAAGAAAAAAAAAGAGCGTTCAGAGTTAAGGGATCATGAGAAAGAACAAAAAATATAACGCATGCAAGAGGAGCTAACAGATGCACACTAAGAAGTAGGAATGTGGCTATAGAATACTCTGAGTCACTCAAGATGGCTAGTCAGAATGAAGAGCAATGGTTGAGAAGAATTGATGATTTAAAATTGGAGCAGGACCAGCTAAAATCTGATGTCAATGGGTTACATTTAATTGCAGAACACCATCGTGAAAAGGCAAAAGAGTGGATGAAGACATGTGAAGATATGATTAATGCTGTCCAAAAACAAACAGAAAGCTTAAAGACGCATGTGCACGAAGTAAATGAAGAGATCAACTCAAATCCTGAATTAAAGCTTCCTTGGAAGATCTTTAAGCTCATGAAATATTGTCAAAATTTAGCTAGGAGTCTCGTGTAAAATGAGATAGTACAATTATTGTAACTCATTTTGATGCAGAATATAATAATAGCACATTTGACTTGATATATAACTTGTTTTAGACATCATTTATTGAAGAGAATTCTCCCTTGAATGATTGTTAATCACAATTTTAGCTTGAGATGATATCCTTGTTTGAAAATGTGGGTCGTACTGTTGCATTGCTAGTAAAATGAACTTATCCATTGAGGAGTGAATGCTCCCTTGAAATAAGTGTCAACCGTTGTATGACCTAAGGGGTTTTTGCCTCTAGCGTTGAGATGTGGGGAATCGCTTTTCAATTTGAATACAAAATCAATCTTTTCCAAAATTTGTTTCTTCTTCCTTTTCTTTTATACTCATAAATTCACTTTGTATTCAGAAAGTAATAAAGCAAAAAAACTAAGTGTTTCCTCGGCACCGTTATAGAACACGCTCTCAAGCCAAGATCATGGATGAGATGGAGGAACGCAACGAAGAACTGAGAAATGATATCAATCAATTGAAGGAACAAATGGCCCAAATTCTAGAGATGATGCAATCTATACAAGTGAAAAATGTAGAAGAGACCCCTCCAATAATCAAAGGAGAATCGTCAACTTCTCCTGCGTATCCACCTGGTTTTACCCCAATCCTATCACAACCATTAACTCTACATCTTAATAGACCTGGCCAACATGTTGACCCTCTAGAGGTCCAATGGCCATCATATGGCCTTCTACCCAACTACACACCTCTAACAATCATGGACCCTCCGGATAAACACCAACCATTGGTGAATCAGTCAACTACACAATTGCAACCTACCCAACCTGAAGTTTCACCCATGAATGTTGCCTCTTACAAACATCAAGTTCCCTACCAACCCCAAAATTCTAACCAAGGGAATCCTCACCAAACTTTTGGGGGATATAAACCAATCTCTGGAATTGAGCAGGTTCAGTCTAGTGAGAAGTTACAAATGCTAGAAGAGTCGCTAAAGGTTATGGAAGTAGGTAGTTATGATGTCGGTGAAGCTATCGATCTTTGTTTGGTTCCAGATATAGAGTTTCCCCCAAAATTCAAAGTGCCTAAATTTGATAAATATAAAGGAACAAGTTGTCCAAAGAATCACATAACCATGTATTGCAGAAAGATGGCAGCATATGCTCGAAATGATAAGTTGCGTATTCATTATTTTCAGGATTCTTTAACTGGGGCAGCTTTGAATTGGTATATGCATCTTGAACGGGCCTATATTCGCTCCTGGAAGGATTTAGCTGATGCTTTCCTTAAACAATATAAATATAATCTTGACATGATTCCAGATAGGTTTAAATTACACATGTCTAAAAAAGATGGTGAAACGTTTAAGGAATATGCTCAGAGGTGGAGAGAAGTGGCAGCAAAAGTGGAACCTCCTTTGTCTGATAGAGAAACGGTAGCCCTGTTCATTGATACTTTATGAGCACCGTTCTATTATAAGATGATTGGGAATATTTCATCAAATTTCTCTAATATAGTCATCATCGGGGAAAGGATTGAGAATGGCATGAGGAGTGGGAAGATTGCGGTTGACCTTGTTGGAATAGTTGGTTCAAGAAAATTTTCAAGTGGTGCAGGAAAGAAGAAGGAAGGAGACACAAATGCAGTGACATTCAACTCTCCTGGGATACCCAACAAAAAGTCTCCTCATTTCTATACCCCTCACATGGCCTACCCAAATATTACCGCCATTGCACCATATCCTCAACAACCTGTCCATCAAGCTCTGCAAGCTTCACCTACAACACCTACCATACGACCACTTCAATCTACCCAACCATGGAACCAAAATCCTAGTCATACGAGGTCACAAAACACCCAAGACCGAAAACCGATTGAGTTTGACCCTATCTCTATGTCCTATACTGAGTTGTTCCCTCTCCTACTACAAAATTCATTAGTAGTACCTTGCCCAATGAAGCCCGTAGAACCACCATATCCTAGGGGATACGATGCTAATTCCAAATGTGACTATCATGCGGGATTTATTGGTCACTCCCTCGAGAATTGTAGAGCTTTGAAATTTAAGGTACAAAATTTGATTAAGGCTGGGTGGTTAAACTTCAAAGAGGATAATCCTAATATCGGGAACAATCCTCTACCAGGGCATGGAGGGCCTACAGTTAATTCTATTGAGGAGAATAAAGAACAGTTCATGATAAGGACAGTGAAGGATGTAAAAACTCCCTTAAACCTCATTTTTAAGGAGATGTGTAAGTTTGGGATGTTGGAAGGAAGTCATGGTAAAGATGAGGGGTGTGGATTGCATCCTGGTAATAGTCACAAGATTGATGAATGTGACGAGTTTAAACAAATTCTACAAGATTTAATGGAAAAGCAACTTATACAGGTCGGCTATTTTGAATTTCATGTGGGGGCTGTGGATTCAAATGTAAGTTGCCCAAAACCCCTGGTTGTCCATTATACCAAGGGTAAGAACATTTTGAATGTTGACAGACCAAAGCCTATCACAATACAAGTACCAAGAGCTTTTCCCTACAAGGATAATAAAGCAGTGCCATGGAGATATGGTGCAAAAGTTTGCATTGATGCCTCTAAAGAGGGATTAGAAGCCACTGACATCACAAATGTTGCTGACGTTGGTGGAATGACTCGAAGTGGTCAAATTTACACTCCTGAAGAGTTGAAAATCAAACAAGCTAAATCGGTAAAGAAGAGTCATGAGAAAGGAAAGGAAGTGGTGGATGAAAGGATAATCAAAGAGCAAGAAGAGGAGAAGAAGCAAGTCTTTGACGAAGAGGCACATGAGTTTCTAAAACTCATACGACAAAGTGAGTACACGGTGATTGATCAGTTGAACCGAATCCCTGCCAGAATATCACTTTTCTCACTGATGATGAATTCTGAACCCCATAGAAGAATATTGTTGAAGATATTGAATGAAGTTCATGTCGTTCATGACATTTCCGAGGAGAAATTCGAAGGTATTGTTGGAAATATCACTGCCAATAACTACCTTACCTTTACTGATGATGAGATACCGGAGGAAGGAACAGGGCACAATAAAGCTTTGCATATATCAGTAAAATGCATGGACCATATCTTGGCGAGAGTTTTGGTTGATAATGGTTCTTCGTTGAATGTGATGCCAAAAGCAACATTGGCAAAACTTCCTTATGATGGATCATATATTAAGCCAAGCACTATGATAGTTAGAGTTTTTGATGGATCTCGTAGAGAAGTCATCAACGAGATAAGCTTACCTATCCAAATTGGTCCTCTTACTTTTGAGGTAGTATTTCATGTGATGGACATTGCACCAGCTTACAGTTGCCTTTTGGGAAGACCTTGGATTCATTGTGCAAGGGTTGTACCCTCCACACTTCACCAAAAGCTGAAATTTATTGTGGATGACACGTTAATCATTGTATTGGCTGAAGAAGACCTATTGGTTAGTAAACCTTCATCCACTCCTTATATTGAAGTTGCTAAAGAAGCTTTGGAGACTTCATTTCAAGGGCTCGAAATTGCAAATGTAAGTTATGGAAAGAACATTGTGAAGCCACAACCATCTGGTGCCTCCATGATGGTAGCTAAAACCATGTTAGGGAGTGGATATCAACATGGTTGCGGACTGGGAAGAGATGCACAAGGACCAAGCCAATTTCCCGAATTAATAGATAACAAAGATCGATTTGTTTTGGGCTTCAAACCCTCAAAGGCTTATAAATGGCGGGTTGTGTATGAGAAAAGAGAAAGGAGGCTAGCCATGCTGGAAAATAGGGAGGCAAAAATTGATGGGGTCCCTATTTGTGATCTACGAGAAAGCTTTTGGAGTGTTGGGTTCGAGTTTCCAAACTCAATAGCTCTTGTTGAGCAAGACTTTCATGAGGAAGAACAGGCTAGTCTGGTTCGCGCTTGTCCACTGAACATGGAGCTTAATAATTGGGAGATTGTAGAGGTGCCTGTGGTTTTTAATTCAGATTTAAAGTAATTTTCTTGTAATGTTAATCTTATTGCTCTGCCCAAGGTTTTAAGATTTATTTCATTGAATAAAGGCTCTTGTATTTCTTTTTAATATTAAATAAAATGCATTCATTCTTCTTTCATCTCTTGCCTCTTCCTTTCTCCTTAATCTCTTTATCAATCTTATCCTAACTTTAAATAATGCAGATTTGAGAAAAATGCGCTTGAAAGTGACAATGCTAGTGTTGCATCAAATAATTTTGATTGTCCCATTAATCAAACTTATGAGGAAATAGAGCATGATTTAGAGCCTTCCCCTAAGTTATTAAGATTAGTGGAACAAGAGGTCAAAGAGATTCAACCACATGAAGAGCTAACCGAGACAATTAATTTGGGTGATAAAGAGGAAAAAAAAGAAGTCAAGATTGGCATGCTCATGAAAGAACCTGAACATAATAAGTTGATAAGGCTTTTACATGATTACAAGGGTGTCTTCGCTTGGTCGTATCAGGATATGCCAGGGCTTGATACTAGCATAGTGGAACACAAGCTACCGTTGAAGCCAGAATGTCCTCCCGTCAAACAAAAGTTGAGATGAATGAAACCAGAATTATCTTTGACGCAGGATTTCTAGCAATTTCCAAATATCCATGATGGGACTCGTTAGGAGTGATAACTTTCATGCTTAGCAAAAATGCACCAAGGAGCCCCCTAAAGCTCCCACGCCTGGCATAAAGGTCACAGAGAGCAATCCTTGCTCTTTGTCATTCCCATGCCTGGTGACCACTCATGGGGCCCAACATCGCTTCAAAGATGACATTCCTACATAAAATTAATGTGAAAAGTTGCACAAGACAATCCAAACACTCAAATACAAAAATCAATTGGTAAAACATACAAGAATCGTAATCATACATCAACGAGCCATCAATTAGCATTCTTGACATATATTATTCCTTATTAATTCATTTTACTCTAACCCTAGGGTTCCCACAAAAACCACAAGCATTCATAGATTCACGATTCCATGCAATTATACAGAATTAAACACGACTACTTATCAATTACTATAAATAGAACATATAAGAAGAGTATAGAATCCATAATTATAGTATATAATCAGAATTTGGAATTTCTCCCTCACACAACATACACAATAAAAAATGATTGGGGACCAATACCACTATCCCGCAAATATCCCACACCCCAAAACAAGACTACTCACTCCTCCTTTACCTTGATGAATGCCAAAGGTAGGATTTGGATCCCCGAAATCCATTGGCTCTCCAAGATTTTTAGAAGCATAGAGAGAAATTAAGCGTAAAGGAAGCGTATGAAAACCTAATATGACGATAACCTCTTTTAAAGCCTCCTAACCCGTGTTTAACTCATCAGTAAAACAACTAACCACAGTTACCATCTCTATCCTTTAATTAATTAAAACTTATGGATAAATACATAAGATAAACATATCTCTTCTAGCACAATAAGATAATTTCACAATATTTATTTTCTTATCTAAAAACATTCTTATCTATAAAACTTCTCAATTAATTAATTAAATCATATTAACTTATTTAGAAAATTTTGGGGTGTTACATCAGATGCACTATACCATTCTACATATTATCTAGAAAGAAAAAATAAAACATAATAGCATTTATAACATCTACAAATTATTAGAGCTCTTATCAATTAGACTTTTTGAATATTTGAAATACACTTTTAAGAGCATGAAACGTTCAAACAAGCTTTGGAATTGTGAAGACCTATAAGATACAAACGCTCGACACATCTAGTTAGGCATTGGATGCAAAAGCTAACTATTCTAATTACTACGCGTTATACTTGTCTCATATTTTATGTGATTGTAGATTTTATTACAAAATATTTTTAGGTTTCAATTCATTCTACACCTTGAATGCATGCTTCCTAAAATGACTTAGCAAAATATTAGTGACTCAAGTTCATTGTTTCGTTATCATCAAAATTAGGGTATTGAAACGTTCGTTGATGTCTTTGGTTCAATAGACTATTTGACCAATTGGATTGAGGAAAAATACACTTAGAGGTGTGTGGATGGGTTTTGAGGACCCTAGATCGCGTAGGTCGCAATTCTACGAAGTGAAAAATCTACGACAACGTTGAACGTGCCTTTAATGCGTTGGGCATGATGAACACAATTTTTCGAATTGGTGTGGGGAGAGCCATGCTAGGTGCGGGGGTGCCAAATAGGTCTCTAATTTCTATGCGAAAGGCAAAAGGTATCTCATTTGGCGTAGTTTTTTAGAAGGTTTTGCCACCGAGCGTGACTTGGATCACATCGGTGACCTAGTCCCAAAGGGATCTTTAAATCCTTAACATTGGGCATGGGGACATCCACGTACACTAGTGCAAATAAAGTAGAGAAGTCCCTAACATTGTCACACCAAATGTGGCACCACCACAACGAGCATGAATCTAGTTAAGAGACCCCTAATCTCTCCACTTTAGGCGCAAGTTTGACCTCACTGGACACCATGCTATTATTCAAATTAATAAATGTTTATGAGGATAATTAAGTAAAAGTGGAGCCTGTGAGGAGTAGTTATGTTGGATTAAGTGAAGGGAATAAAGAAGTTAGTAATCATGTTAAAAACCAATATATGAAGAAGAACTATAAATGCGTGAGACCATATGTATACCTTGATGTAATTGAATGAATGAATAGTAGAGATGTTATGCTAATGATGTAGAAATAAGGAATGTTGTAATGTGTGACGAATGAGCGGTGTTAATGTATAGGGATAATATCATGATGATATATGTGGATGAGATGTGATGTTACTCCACTCAATAACTCATGGTATATGTTAAATTTCAACGATCTAATCGTTAAATTAAAAACTCTTGATGCATAGATTAAGTCTACAAAATTTTGAAAATTTTGAAAACCATATGATACTTTGTTATATAAATTCAAATCAATGTATAAATTACTTCTTATAATTAACAGTCAATTTGAATTAATGAAATGAAGTATCAAATAGTTCTTAAAAAATTTTGTAGACTTGATCTATGTATTAAGAAATTTTAATTTAGTTATTGGATCATTGAAATTCTACACACACAATGAATTATTGAGTGAAATAACTTTACTAAGAGTTACTATTAAAGTCATTTGATCCCACCTTATATATATGTGTGTGTGTGTGTTTGAGGAGGGATCCGTTTACTCCAAGAGTAAATTTTAATAGCTCATGTTCTACATCAAATTTCAACAATCCAACCGTTAAATTTATAAAGTTCTTAATGTATAGTTCAAGTCTACAAATTTTTAATAAATTTGAAAACCATTTGATACTTTGTTTCATTAAATTCAAATTGATGGATAATCATAAAAATATTTTATACATTGATTTAAATTAATGAAACAAAGTATCAAATGATTATTAAATTTTTTAAAAATTTGTAGATTTGATCTATGTATTAAGAACTTTAATTTCAACAGTTAGCTGGTTAAAATTTGATGTAAAACATAAACTATTGAATAGAGTAAAGTAAGTATAAGTAAACTTACTCTTGGAATAAATAAATATATATATAT